AATTTGTTTTTGTATAATATAAAAAAATCATTAACTTAGTCTGTCGATTTGGACCTCCCCCATACAAAATCTGATACATTTCTAAGCATGAGTCATATCATTCATATTTCACAGGTACAGAAAATCTGCCCTCACCGATGAGGAAGTTCGATATGTCGGATACCTGACACAGTCCCAAAGTACACGTGACTATGATACGACATATTCAATGTACGACGACAATATGTACGATGATTTCGTCAATAGCACAGGGCTGTCCTACCCGGATGAGTTCGATTTTGCAGCGTTTACCCGTCGTGTTGGATACCAGTTTACGATGCACGACGATCTTCTACATTGTGTATGGAAAGGTGGTCAATTATGTACGTCAGATGTAAGTATTGTCAACGCATTCTTTTTAAGTACCCATCATAAATAGAACAGTTCTATTGATTGGTCAATTTATGTGTGATCAGGTGATACACATTATACAGTTATAGACCTCGCCTGGGGCCAATATCAATAATTATTTTTTCTAGCGACTGTTATTGATCGAAGCAACACAACTGAGTTTAGTTACAGCGACACGAAAAGAACGGGACAGGAAGCTAGATGAATGACGCCAGCAGCAAGAAAGCCAATACAATATTTATCGAACGATCATGTGACCCCTTGTGACCACTAACATTGCATGCTTCATAGTGTCAAATATTGGGAAAATAAAACACATATTTGATTTCATCTGCGGCGATATCAAGAATCACCACCCAGGAAGCAATGCCGAAAGAACAGTAATTATCGGTCGAACTCTACGCTATTGAGTATATGAACTGTCAATGACCCATATTATAAACGTATCGTGTCGCTAAATTGTGATTGATTTGCTACATCATATATTATATCATGTTGTTATTTAGGTCAATAGTCGTTTAATTCATTAGTTGATATGACATGGGTTGACGTTTCAGTGACGTCAGTCGATATTACACTCCCTTACAGGACTTCGTACATGTTTTTACACGTTATGGTAACTGCTATACTTTCAATGCACCTGCAAAACATCAATACTTGACTCAAGACCATGTCGGTGCTGGTAATGGATTGGTTATGTTTCTCAATGTAAAACAGGTAATTATTTCAAATTGCATTTGCGCCGCTGCAAAATGGAAACCTGCTCATTGGGAAAAGATTATTATCTGTATATATATGATACGTGAAATTTAGACATACAACAATGAATTGGATGATGTGTAGATGAGAAGAAATTGAATTTATTTTGGGGAAAACACATTTAACCTTATATATACAATAAATATACCCTATATTTATATGACTATTTAGTATCCCCTTCATCGACCACGAGGACTGCCATTTTGTTACCTCCAATAAGAAGGTTATGTGTTCGGTAGAGTTGGTTTACTGTTTTGTTTGTTTGTCAAAACGTTATTCTTGGTTCTAGTAGTTTTTTCAAGAGAAGCTGCCCTTGACACAATGACGGAACCATTACATTTTTTTAAAACTGGTTATGGATCTGGTTACCTTGGAAACAATAGTTTTGGGAATGCTTTTTCATTTATAACTTGTGCATTAATTCTCGTGAAATTATCGGAAGGGGTCGCTCTAAATAGAACCAACTGAACATATTTTGGTAGTGATTTAGATATGGTCGCCATGCAAACAACAATTTATTAAAACAAAGTAATAAACAAAATTCTGTAGTTTTTTAGTATATATTTATATATTTATATTTCATGAGAAATCTGAGGCTTGAAAGATAATGTTTATAAAGAATTCCTCATCATTCTTCATCTTTTTAAAAATGAAATTATATGCTCATTTTCCGAGTATGATGAATGTATACAACAGGGTAGAGATATTAGTGAAGATATGTAATGTGGGTCTATGGCAGAGGTTTGCACGTTTTGAGACGTATAGGGCTAAATTAAAATACAATACCAGGTGATTTTTTTAAAAACTGTTCTACCCGATACCAACAATATTCACATCAATATAGGTTCATTCGATTACATGAATATATCCCTCCTATATGTTTTACCATATAAAGGAGGAGTACACGGAGACGGCGTTCGGTAACTACGCGGCTGGTCTGAAGATATATGTTCACAACAAAGACGAACCTCCTTTAATAGAGTCGCAAGGACACGCCATTACACCGGGAACATTGTCGTATGTGGACATAACACAACATAGGGTATGACATGTTAAATACTAGAAATGTTAATATTACATTCAAACGGTGATGATATGACGATTTGATTCAATTATATAATGAGATTACTTTTCGTAGATGTCAATAGCTATATTGATATTGTTATGAATCAGGTGCATATGGATGTAAAATATTCTATTCTATGTCATTATATTACAAAACCAGAGTATATACCATCGTGATATAAAATGAAAACCCCGCAATGCTTGTAAATTATATATCATACACAATGTACATACCAATATACAACGCAAATACATGTTTTTATAATTGTTGCAGTCGTTAAATTTGCCACCGAAATGGGGTCAGTGTAACCCAAGTCAACAATTAGAGTTCTATGATTCGTATACTATTCCTGGATGTCTCCTTGAATGGTATTCTAAAATAATGACCAGTGTGTGTGGCTGTCGTCCATTTATATACCCTGGTCGGGCTCGTCATTGTACACTGTGGGAAACATTTGAGTGCGTACAGCCTACAGAAGGTAATGCATTTCATTTTGCAAAAACAGATAATTTGATTGCACATACCACGTTCTTTGTTTATGCTTGTGTTTGAGTATTGTACATACATGTTCATGTTTTTAATTTTAAATTCATTCGTCTTATAAAATTATGCTTATTATCGTGAATATAGATACATACAACGTTAAATTTGCGATTAGACTGGCACAGTCTGGGCGATTTATTTCTTTTTAAATTTAAAATTAAATAAAAACAATAGCGAAATGGAGGTGTTAACGCAAACTTTCCTGTAACCGCGAAAACCGTTGTGGTTTCGCGTTTACCCCACTTTTTGCAAAACTATGTTTTCCATTTTTTTATTATTATTATTATTATTATTATTATTAATATCAATTAACTGAAAAAAATCACCACAGCTGGGCCAGTCTAATTTGAGATGTATGCTAGCTATCAATGCGACCACTGAATATTATGAGTTCTTGTCCAGTTTTTAGTACACTGCTGAAAATATTTTTGCTAAATATAACACAAAAAAACAATTCATATAATTGTTTCACAGCTGCTATACAGTCAGGAGAATACGGTGACATGCCATGCCCCGTACCATGTAATCATACAACCTATCCAACTACGATGTCATATGCTAATTTCCCAAGCAAAAGTGTGGCGTCCAGCATGGCACAATTGTTTAACATATCTGCAGAGTATGCAAGGTATGTCGTAAATTGTTCTGATGATGTTAAGAAATTAAAAATAATCATGATAAACATTTCAAACTTACGGAAAATACTGACCAAAAAAAGTGTATATATCAGTCTTTGAGTATGGTTGCCATAGAAACCAATGTGGTATCTTCGTACCCCTACGCTATAATGAATATTTAAATTTCTTACACATACATATATAGATAGATACACCAGAATTTAAAGTAAATACGTATTACCCAGTGAAGATTCCACGAATTGCACGATTATTAAACGTGACTTTGAATTATTCAAGGAATGGCTCGTGTGTTTATGTCATGAAACTGGTTTAAGTCTCGTGTTATACTCGACCATGTGATGGTTATTCCTATTATATTATACCAAATTCATTTTAAAAGTAATTCTGAGACACAGAAATAACCTTAAAACACCAAATTGCACCCGGATTTCGACGTTGCAGAGGTTTAGTTACGTGTCGGTGGTAACACGTGTGTATGTAAAATTGACATAATAACAAATACAGACTCGATTGGCGCCGGACGCTCGATAACGTTTGGAGGATCGACAACGTTTCCGGGTTTACATTTTTCTCGCGCTTGTGTCTTGAACCCCAAATACCTGAGAAACGCATTTACGACCCCACATCCGTTACGCAAAATATAATTCCCATTTGCAGAAAGCCCTTCTGTATGTTATTCACGTTTGGGGTCTTATTCTAAACACTTAAAACCGTGGTATGTCTCTATTCGACCACGACTTGCATAATTAAAATGCACTCTCGATCAATCACAACGGCGTACTCAGGCAATTGAAATACTTGTATATTATTATTATTATAAATACATTGAACAAAAATTAACGGATAAACATATATCTGTAACGCACTAATCGTAGTTGTTTTTTCAGTGAAAACTATGTTGCTGTTGATATATTTTACGGGAGAATGAGTTATCAGCTCTCCAAGCAAACCTATGCGATGACTGCTTCTGCTTTAGTTAGTAAGTATTTATCAGTTCGCGTCGCACGTTTGGATAAAAATTTTATACATTATATATTGCGTTTTATATAAAATTCATAAACAAAACAATTTTTATACCATATTTTGCTTTTCACGAAACAAGCAAGTGTATTATAATGTATATTTGTTCTAGGTGATATTGGAGGACAAATGGGATTGTTTCTCGGTGCAAGTGTTATAACATTGATGGAGATCGCAGAGTATATTGGAAACAAAATGAAGCATTTATTCTGTTTTAAGAAAAAGAAAACGAGAGCAAATAATAGCAGCAATGCAATACATACAGAGCAATAAATGCCTTTAATATGTCACAAAAATGTGGTTCTACGATTCATGATTAATGATGATTAGTGATTGGTTACTAAAACATTAGATGACATTACAATTGATCATATAATTTTCTCCAAGTGAATATTTTTGCTAAATTGTAAATTAATGAGAATTTTTCAATTGCAATGTTTAACTTACTGTATAGTTCAGCAAATTTTAGTGCACGTAGCAGTGGTTACAAACGTGTTACTCCCACATACAGCAATTAATCCCCTCTAAGAAAGTAAAAAGCATACCTCACCGTAGATCATTTAATAAAGGTGTGCGCAAACATTGATAACTGTTATGTATGTTATAACATCATACACATATTTCTCTTTATTGTGTTATTCGTGTTATGCATTCGAGCATGTGAAATGGCAATATAGGCACAATTGGGGTCCAAATTGTGCCTAAACTTGAGAAGGAAGCAATTTAAATGATTGTAATGTATTCCTGATTCCCCATTTTCTGCTCTTTGAAAAGTTGTGATAAAGATCGATATTTAAATGTATAGGGTTAAACACTCGGTAATTGAGTGCTTCTTCCAAACAATTTAACACTAGTGGATCCTCGTTGAAATGAAACTTATTAGCAAAGAGCTGAGGTTGCTCAAGCAACCAAGGTAAATCCAATCGTCCAAATATGCATATTCCGCGTTTGACACGACGCGACTTGCATACATACGAGTTTGGCTCAGTAACCCACACTTTAGCTCGACACAACAGTTGATTATTAATAATGCCAGTTGTTCCTGGTGCGTTGTGCAGTACATTGAGTGATTGGTAGTAGTGTTCGTCTGGACAATATGTATCATTAAGCCAATTGTAGTATGCAATAGCTATGGGGTCTTTATGCAGGTATTCAACAAATTGTCTTGTTAAAGCAGTATGAAGCTCACCTTTGTAAATAGCGACATTACCCGGAATGGGTTCAGTCTTTTTGTTGTTCGTTCTCTGTATTCCATTATACGGGTCGACAATATATCGCACATGTTGTCTCCAAGTGTTGTATCCACTTCCATCTGGATTTCCTAAACTCATAACATCATTAGTACCGTTCAATTCTTGCAAGACTTCGACAATTTCCAGGTTAGTTTTCAATGGAAATTCCTGACCAGATAGGTTGAGAAGATACTTCCACTTGTCGCTATGACGTAGCAAGTCTCTTTGGCAAATCCTTTCTGCTTCAAGTACGTAAATGGACGCCCAGTGAACTGTAACAGATTGCGATGAGAGTAACAGGTTAGGAAAACACTTCGTGATTGTTTTAATCCGTCGATGGAATTGCGCCGATGATTTTCCATCAATATGAACACAGTAAAAGTTCCAGGGTCTGTAAATAGTTCGTAGTAACTGTTCTACCTGGGGAACTGATGTATATACAAGGATGACAAATGCCAGAGGAAATTGCGTTTCAGTTGTTGTCTCTGGTTTATTATAATATCCATGTAATTGCCGAAACTCCTCGCAGTTTTTGATCTCCTTTCTTTTGTGGAACGAGTGCGATCCTTTTATTAACTTCACGAATTGTCGACATGTGGCATTGCCTGGGACATGGTGACAATGTTGGCTAATTGACAACGTTTCCATGATTCCAGCTCGGTCGTTTGAAATACACCCGTCACTAGAATAGTCACGACGCCGTCCACTGCCTTGATTTACTGCACTTCTGAGACTGCCATTTTCTTCATCATAAACGCCTGGAATTGTTTCGATTACTGGTATCTTCGTTGTGCCTGTTCCCTTGTGTATCGAAGTGTAATAAATTACTGGTATAAAGTCAATTATTCCGACTAAAATCAGAATGACGATGCTCAGTTTTGTCATTCTCTGCAATGCTATCACCATCGTCAGGGTAACTGATTCAGATTGAAATTTACCTGTGAAAGCTGAGGAAATAGAGTCCAACAAATAAATGAAACATGGCTTATTGAATTTCAATAATACCGCTATATCGCGTATAACCGGATTATGTGTATTTCCTCCTTTCCGAATACCCTGAAACATATTATGTCGGTTATATGCTCAGCGCAGTCCGTTTGTGGCAAACATGTTGATAATGAATATAAACACTATTTACTTGGGGGGAAAATCACACTCATTAAATGGTTGCAATTGTGCGTTGCAGCAAATGTTGTATCTGTCAAATATACCCAACAACTTATGTGTCCATCATTTTAACGTGTAAACACGTCACGATGTGCAACAGATATTTTATATTATCGTTTAATATTTCATATAACTGTTACGTTATGCCCGAAGTGGGCGAAGAAGGATAGTGTATATATTAATACTGAGTATAATATTGTATCGATATATAATTAATCCAAGGACACTTTGATTACAATTTTTATGATACAGGTCGAACGTATTATCTACACCTTTCGTAAAAATCGACGATACAATGAAAAATTAAGAAAAAACCTTGAAAACGAGTGGCGGTGGTGCATAAAATTATCAACAACAGCCAATGGAAGCATCGATATCTGGATTTTGTTACAAGAGGTGTACTGATTGCCATCACATAACAACGTATTTATTTCAGAGAAAGCTTCATCAATGCGAATATCTACCACAGTTTTCTTCAAAAAAGAAAACAGTATATGAATATTACACTAGATATATTTACTCTGCCATACAGCTACATTCTGTTCAGTGCACAACATCGAAACATTCTCAGTATAATTCTGTGCACGATACATGACTCACGCTCACTGTCACTCGTGTTCTCGGCGTTTGTCAAAACACTCTGGGTAACTGCTTTCACTAAATGAAATTATCTCTGTGAATGGGAAAAATATTCGACACTGATTGACGCATTGCCAGCTTCTATTATAGGCCACTTTCTTATGTTACAAGGTGGTATGTGTGACATTATACTTTGAAAATTCAAGATGTTTAATTAATTATTGATTCCATAAGTAAATCCGATAAGTCAGACATTACACCGGATATTCAGCATATACATTTCGCTTTGTCGTGAAAAGTTTGTTGACCTTGATCTTTAAATAATATGAGTCTTCCCCACAAATTTATATGGTATACTAAATCTGTTATATGTGAAGCTGACAGTACGTTCGCATTCATTCCACGAATAAATTTTTCCTGACTTCTAGGAATCTGAAAAACGCGTTTCACAACTTGTCTCTTATTTAGTTTTATGCGTCATTCAAGATGGCGGCCCCATATAGTAAACTGAATGTCGCATTTATTTTATTATATCAGGTGTGCGCCAGCTGACTGTGGATGCACCACACAAACTGTAATCTATTGATTAATTAAGAATTAAAACCCTTCAATGTTGGTCGAATGTAACCTCACTGAATCAGAAATGTTATTTTTGTTCCCTTCATTTTACCCTGCGACTCACTGAGTTCAAAATTGCAAAATATAACTTGTGGCAGCCAAACTAATTTTGAAGATGCCGAGTCTCAGTTTAAGAATATTGACCAATTTTCAATTCAAAATGGACCCTAAAGATTAGAGTTAAACTCTATGGGAAATCATAATGCATTGTTCCCATGGAAACAAGTTTGGATATTTCCTCGTTATATTTGCTTTGTTATTTATATCACTCATGTCTCCCTTTCAGCTGAATAATAAATATTTGTTGTGCTTTTAGAGTCACTGCATTTCACACTAGTTAGTCTTTAAACAAAATCTCCAAGCTGAATCAAATATTTAGTCGAATAGATGCAAATTCCAGGAAAAGGGCCATGAGTGGAAAGAAAACGAAGGTTACAAAACACAAGATACAGTGATTTTCGAGTTAAAGAGATATGAAAATAAAGCAATTATCACTATTCTTTTATTAAACGTCATTCATTGGCTTACATTGAATATCTAAATTCCATCATTCTCTCTCAGCTCAGAGCACATTGACATTGTTTTATGTTACAAAACCGTGTGTAATCAATCTAGTTATACGCAATACTTATTCCGCTTCAAACGGCCGGTTACTACTATCGTCAAATAAGTAGTCTGTTTGATGTCTGATGATGTTTTAGAAAAAAACTAAAATGAATAACCAATGACAGGATCAGAATCCCCTCCCTGTGACTAAGTAAAAATGTACAACTTCAACTTGACGTATTTTTTAGGGTGACCCCTCTCTGATTATGCCGGCCAACGTCCGCTCGTAAACAGTAAACATAAGTGCACTCACAGTAATGTGCATTGTATGCACTAACACCAACTGAATTAAAGTCACTGTGCATAAAGAGGCAAGCTATCCTTACCGCGACATCGTTCACACACAGTCTGGTTTTAACTCGTACTTAATAATATGGTTTAACTGAACACCATCTGGCCACTATTTGTAGCTCAAAGGGCGATCGGCATTAACGTTCACATCTCAGATTCTAAATGAAAAAGTATCCATATCGAATAAGCTTAGACACACGCAGCTCACTAACATATTTCATGAGCTGATTTGCTGTGTGTTGCGGTAGATGAAAAGCGACACAGAAATACAAATATCCTCATAAGCTGTCTTTCTGTTACTGAAAAAAGTTGTTGGATTTACCTGAACATTGAACGATAAGCGTATATCCTTGTAGGAGATTGACCTGCGTGCGTGTGTCTCACTTGTATCTCAGACGTGCCTGGACTGATTACATTCAAACTTCGCACATATCTCATACGTTTCAGATACATAAGCACCTCCATTGATTCCTACGATTTAAGAATATTCTGTGGTAAAAAAAAAATGATCAAAATTGAGCATTTCTGCTATTCCGGAACTGGATTTCAGTCGTGTTAGCGAACTTGCTAAATTCGTGGACGAAACGAAACGATACATGTGATATAATTAACCAGACGCTGAGTTTTGTGTTCCTTTCGACTCCTTTCCGTTCACAGTCTTTGTCTTGATTGGCCGAACGAAAGCGACGGAAGATTTGCATCTTCATTTTTCTGATTGGCTGCATGGAACGTCCGAAAATTGCTGCGCCTCGCACTAATTATATATTCATCACGCCATATACGCCTATCCTCTAACTCACATTAATTTGCTGCTTTACTCGGAGTTTTAGAAAACGTACGTCTGGCGCGTAAAAAAAACATGGCCGTGCAAATTTTGGAAGCGTTCGAATATGATGAAACACTTTCAACGCGCTTTTCATATTAAAACAACGGGGTATGACAGATCTCCAACTGACCAATAGGTGATTGCCATATGGAACAAGTACAATATGGAATATTCGCCGTAAAACCCAGATGCTCGCTGCTGTGCGATCACTCTTTATCATGTATCGCAGAGCTGCATTTCTGTCGCAATTTTAAGTTAGTGCATGGCGGGCGAACTAACTTTTCCAACGATAACACATTATAAACCATTGAAGCACTGCAGATAACGATGCGTTGTTAACAACTAACTCAGTAACTAACTATTGTTTGTGCTGCCGAAGACAGGATGTGAAAACTTGAGAATAGGCTCGATCAAGCGAACTTTCCAATACATGAAAACGGTGTGTTTATTTCTGTATTTCATGTCATCGTCGCAGTCTCATAATATATTTGTTTTAAACCGGCACATAAACATTACACAATGTCAGCATTTCACACTAAAATAATGAAAATGTGGTTATATGGTGTTTTCTACGAGTAACATCTTTCTCGTATGAGATATGGCTGGTACGTGGTGTGTTATACCCCGTCTCTATTATCCGTTAGCGGCATATCATAGCGCGCGCAGTCGTAGAGATAAAGCGCAATCGTTCTTCGTCGTTGATGGCGCTGTTAAATATTCTGTATGCAGCTCTTCATTGTAGCGGCTCCAACGATTTCTCTGTTCACGCGATACGTGTAAAATGTGAAAGCGCTTGTTTTGACAGATGTACTAACTGGCGAATTTCAGTTTATTTTACTATGAAACGTTCACATCATTTAGCTAACGGTCGTACAAATAACAATATTTCATTCCAAATGTGATGGGTTGTAATTGAGTAGGATTGAAGCATAGGTCAATTATCGGTAAGTAAATACAAACCAAAAAAACTCATCGAATAATGATTTACGTTGGAAATAATCAACCTTCAAACAATCAAAGTTGATCGCGAAACGAATGAACATGCATATGTAACATAAGATGCATGATGTATGTGTGGATTCTTAATGTGATTGGTCGAGGCCAGCATGTCTGAGGTACATGTGGAACCGCACGGACACACGGTAAAACGGACGGAGTTAAACAATGAAGAAAGTAAAATCATTCCTGTTATATGTCGGTAAATATAGATATATATTGATATCAAATTGAGCGAAGAATTATTACACCTCAAACAAAGGAGTATGTTACGTGAATTATATACCTAGCCATGATTCCCAATATTCACCACTCCCCTTGGCCGCGATCACCTTTCCCCTATTTAAATGAACTTGTATAGTTCCATTGTGATTCAATCCTAATACAATAGTGCATGCAAGCATTTCGTTAGACCTGTGAGAAATGTTTGAGCAGCACGTAGCAGCTTCCCCCAAAACTGGGTAACTGAGTTGAATGAAGTCGATTGGTGTTTCAGATGTATTAGTAATCAGTGGCGGAATAAGGTAGGTAGTCCGGTCATTTCAAGGTACAGATTAGACGTACATACAGTCACTTGAATACGGGTTACCCGACTTTCGCGGTAACTCGGCTTCCGCCATTTACACTCCCACAACATTTTATTTCATTGAGAAAACAACAAATAAACGAGGGACTGTATGCAAGTGTAGGTACAGATAGTTGTATGAGGGGATTAAATTATCAACTTACACCTAACCAGTGTACTTCCACTTTTCGTTGTTTATGTCTCACATTTGTTGTGCGATAGTGACTAAATCATGACCATGACATTAAAACTATGGCGACTGTCGACGACGTCAGCTTTCTGCCGCACTGTGAAAGGCTTTCTTCCATGCCTTTGTAATTGAACCGGGTCAAGTTGTATAAGTAAAAGTGGCTAATGACCCTCGGGCCTTTCGGTCCATTAATTTTGAATTCATAGAGTATTATATGTTACGTGGAATGTTTTTTTCAGCAGAATACAATTTTATGTATCAATAAGCATTTCGTTTGGTATGCCAATTTGAATACATAGTTTGATTGGAACAGAAACCCCATTGAAAAAAAATAACACACTCAACATTAAAGGTTATACGTAACGTTACTTTGTGTGAAGTTGAGAAGTGTTATTCTAGTTCGGCTTAACTAAAGAACACATCGCTGACTTGATATATATGTTCGTATGATAAATTGCAAACAATTCAAGGACTTGAACATTTCACTGTTTAGTATGTTAATGTGAGAAAATGTCACGCTCGCACATACGTAAACATGGATATGCATAACATATAATTATACATCTGTCACCGTAACGCCATAAGTTACAGCGTGCCGTAATTTTGTGGTATTTTACGGGGTATTTTCATACTACCATATTAGGAAATGCGAATTCCAAATATGGAATGATTACGTAAGCGTTCTCTAATAATACAAACAAACATGGCTGCCACCATTTAGTACGTCTACCTGTAAACATCATAATGAAGAATCCGCGAAAATAAGATTTAAAGTAAAACATGAACATTTTATAGACATTTAGAGAATAATAATGTGACATAACGCTTAGTTCGGGAAAAACCTAATTCTACATGGCATACTACAAATTCATTATCGATGTTTATTCATCTATGTAGAATTAGTTGTCATTTTACACGTTTTCAAAATCAACGCGCAAGCATTATCAAAAAATCTTAATCCAACAAGGATTTATTTTTGCTAGCACGACGTTGATTAATAGTGTCTTCAATGTCGTCGTGTAATAACATAACGGAATGCCAACTATCAGAAACAATAATTTCAAGCAGTCTTGAATGAAAATTTTCCCATCTAGCTATTTTAATTAAATATGAGTCATAAGCTAGTTAGTGCAGCTTGCGTTGGTAGTGTCAGACATGGTTCTATCTCGCTGGCACAATTGGGCATAAAAAGCAATAAAGTATAGTAGGTCGCGATGGGAAAAAATATAACAAAGGCCGGTACTAAACATAGGCGCTCGGACAAAGGAGATGACACAGGAGTAACACTGACTCAGAGGACAAATACGCCACTGACCGGACAAAGACTAAGTAGACCAAGACGTGTAGTCAGGAACACAACAAACACAAGTCGAGTAAAATGCACGGAGCCATACCTAAGCAAGTTTTTGTTACGAAGACTGTACCCACCCGTTGGTGTGGGTGTGCTTACATCAACCACACAAGTAATATTATTCCTAATCTGAGTTTGGCTCAATTTGACTTTTATTATTTTCTCTGCCCTTGAATTTGACTGGGCTTAGTGTGAATAAAACGTTTTGGATGCGATCATTACTATCATGTTGTAGATTACCTAAATATGAAGGTACTTTCATTCATGTGTTTTTTCCTAAACAGTGGCCGAGTATACGCTACATTTCTCGCAGATATCCAAGTATAAGTTTATCCCGAACAATGGCTGACTCTACTGAAAGCATGGACTACAAATTCGCCAACAAGTACCACGATGCATGGAGTTGCCAGGGTCGCAGAAAACAGTCGGTTAAGTGTACGCGTGATTTGGATTATCATTGTGTTGGCATGTATTGGGGTTTGTGTGTGGCAAATCTCTTTACGATTTATCAACTATATGGAGTATAACACCAATACAGAAATTTCAATCAATTATCCAGGCCGGTTGGAGTTCCCAGCAGTCACATTTTGCAATTTTAACAGGTAAGTATTATATGGTGTAAATTTCGCCGCACCCGCCCTGACGCATATCATCTAATGTTCTAAAAAATACCCCATCTGACAACTGAGTTGTATTCAACTTGCTCGCCTCGTATAATTACCCCCAGCATGTACCCTCAAATTACGCTTATTTTAGACCACACTGTTTGTCGTGAATACGTTTATAACGGTGATAAATAACACGTACGCATTTTGTTATTATTATGAAGTTTTGTAAAAAAAAAAAAAAAATGCCCATATGAACACCTACTGTCATTTTAATTGGGGATTGCTGTAGTGTAAAACTTAAACTATTTTGACACATGGAACCATCTAAATGCTGCCGGAGATTCTGTGTGCAATACTGCTGTATGGTGTGAATTGGCTAAATCAATGTGTGCATCAGAGTCTTGGTGTTCCCAGCAGTGACATTTGGAGCGGCCATAGATGTGGATTCAATGCCAAGGGCACTGGTGAATGTTGACGATATACCCTGTATATATCCAATCTAGCATTAGGGGGATTCATTGTTTAGAGGATAAAGAATTCCGCATGGCCCATTATTGCGTGACGACATGCCAAGGAGATTGATCACACAACTATACAGCATTCTCAACCTGAATGAATCATTGGGATTGTTAATCCATACAAATGTAGGTAAACACTGAATGTTGACAAGTCGCACGAACACGCAAACTTGTTCGTTTACAAATCACTCAAGCTTCTAATAACAGAGCTGCACGTGGTACCAATCGACCACTGAAAACGTGGCGTTTTAATTAGAGGCAGTACACACTATTATAATGCGCGTAAACATTGAAATTATGATGAGTCACACACACACAGTTACTCAGGTCTCGTTCGTATCTGCGTTCATTGACCTCGAGCCTCGAGGGCTGCACGTGGTATCGCGAATTCAGCGTTTAAACAATTGGCAACCAATTATTATAGCATATTCATACGGTGTTATATAAATATATCAGAAAACACATCGGGACAATGTTAAAGATCGTGTCACATTTATGATCCGGAATGACAGAATAATCAATTTTGATGATTTATAAGCTGAATAATAGCGAGCGCATATGAAGTTTGAATATGATCGGTTCAGGCATGCCCAAGATATAGATAAAAAATATAAGTCGCAATTTTCGGAATTTGCAGACGGCAAAAATATATTAGTACTATTCCATATCTACAGAACAGCGTAGTTTTTCGTCCATATTGCATCTTCAATAATTCATTCGTCGTTTTTTTATAGGTATACTTATTCACTTCTTAACAAATATGTGAACAATAGCTGGAACATTTTACTGTATCTCCAGTTAGCTAACACCCAACAACCCGTCTATCACACTGAAATGCTGCAACATTATGGAATTACACTAGAGCTACTACAAAGAGATTTGGAACGTAAATTCCCGGATGGACTTGACGTGGAAAACTTTACCAGAGCCATTGGCTGGCAGTTAAACGACTTTACATTACCATTGTGTCAGTGGAGAGGACATAAATGTTTTCCACAGGTGTGGTATACAGTCAATAATAATAATATAACTTAAGCGAAGCTAATTAAGTGTAGGAAACATCACGGGACAGAGAGTCCGTCCAACTGCCTTTAAGTTTGCAATGGGGAATCATGACCAGTAACACCATGGCTTGTCTCTCATCAATGCAAGAATTCACCAGCTGCAACGCCGTCGCCGATTGGCTACTCGCTTTGTTAATCAATTTGTCGGTGTACAGTTTGTTATGTTGCTATTTCTATTTCATTGAATTTATGTTAATTTCACTTAATTAAACACTCATGTATATAGTGGTGCATTTTAATTGAATATCATTATATTTAAATTAAATTGACTTTAATATAATTCAACTTAATTCAGCTTCTTAATGATATACGTAAAGGTGCGCGCGTGTGGTTCGTGTGTCTACCAATGCTATTTCAAGACCCACAAATCGGATTTCAATCAAATTTCGTACACATATTATCTTGGATAGTGCTCAAACCTGATTAGTTTTTTATTTCAATCCGCTATGATGTATAATAATTACCTAGTTTCACTTGCGTCTCAATGCTGCCCATTAGATTTCAATGAAATTTTGTGCGTAGGTGTTCTCGGATAATCAACCGATCTGATTATTTTAGAGTTAAAATACATGCATAATAATTAGCCAATTCACACAAATTTAAATATAATTCTCTTGATTTGCTTCAATACCATGGATCACGTTGATTTCACATTTTGCATTTCAAGCTTGTATTGGTCACCAGGCTTCTTTGTTATTTTTCTTTAAATTAATTGTAAACCTTCCCTATATCGTCTTCATATGCTTCACATACCCTCAACTCAAAGGATATCTTTCAAAAATGTGAGTGAAAACACTGTGTAAAAAAACGTTACATATGATACTACATTACTTACATTTTTTTTTTATTTTTTAGAATTTTACTCATACATTTACACGATTTGGAAACTGCTATACGTTCAATGGTGGAGATGAATATATAGATCAAAGAATCCCAGGGGCTGGACATGGTTTGTCAGTAGTACTGAATATACAACAGGTTTGTATGTTGTTTAGGTTGTCGGCTCAACATGTTATTATGTGTATGTTGTTCACCGCCCAAGCACGGTTCATCCTACAACCACAGCGAGTACCAACACCTATTCAATCGTCAGTCTGTTTGTCAATAATGTAATATGGAATTAAATTTCTTCTCCTTCTTGTCAACTTGAACAGTTTGTTGGGAATAAGATTACGTAAATTTGGTGGTAAGATCTAGAAACCAAGGGCCACATATTATACAGCATATACTATATTCTTATACAGCATTCACTTTTCCTGCCATGCTTTGGATTCTGTGTCCGTACTGATTATACGATTGTGTCCCTACCATCCTATGCCCGTACTGGTTACAGATTATAACCAATTACACATCCAATACAATCTGCACCCTACGATATGTGCCGGTAAT